CAAGACTTTCTTCACGTGTGTTTAGACGTGATCCGATATTTAATGACCTTGTTATGTTCCAGATTATTGGCGTCGGTGGAGTCCGCCATCATTTGAGAGCATCGGGAATGACTCGAACGCACTATTTACTTTTAAAGCACTATTAATGTCGTGACTTCATTTTAAAGCTTGTCTCATATTCCATCGGCCCTTTCTGGTTTATTTTTTATTTAACATCATCGACATGCCACTGAAGAAGATTATGACGCCTTTCCTGGCCGCAAGACGAAGATCCCTAGTGAGAGTATGTAAGGAATGCTAGGAAAATTTCCTACCATTTCTCTGCGGTACTTACAGTGGAAGCCCCGCGTACTCACTCCAACTTTTTCCAGGCTCTCTCGCGGTCTAGATTATGCGGCGTGGCTACCAAGTATTTGTTCATGTTGTCTTACATGACATACTTATCGATCCAAGTCAAAATGGCGGATCATGATATGTCTCCTCTTCACGGTAAAAAACCTTGTCGTGCATGTACAAGTTTTAAATCGTGGATGAAACAGGAAAACAGAAGAAAAAGCACTGCGGTAAGCTTTTACCTTACAATGAAATTGAAAGAATCGGAACACACGCTTACCAAAAAAAAAAAGCATTAGACGAGCAATTTCGAAATTGATTAAGACTATTACATCATATTTTTTTGTAAATTTCAGGACAGTTTATGGTACCTTCGGCAACCTTTTGCTTGATACTTTAAATCAGCCCTTCATTTTAAAGCTTAGCTAGATTCCTGATAGAGGATGCCCTTGGTACAAGTCGACTCTAACACTCATTTTATGTATGTGTGTTTGCATGTACAGTGTACAGTACCGATTTCAATTTTTTCGACTTTAATACGAAGTGAGTCTATAGGTTTAAACGAAATGAAGATGATCGGACGATTATTAGACGATACAAACTGAAAATCCCAGTCTTTAAAAAGGTTGTGATAGGATCAGAAGAAGACGCTATTTAAAATATCATGTAAACAGATACAATATTTTGGCCGATTAAACGCGAAAATTTTCTGGTTTAACCAAGAAACGTTTTTGATAGTATAGATGTTTCACAAGAGGTTCCTTCAGGCATAGTAAGCAATGTTGTTGATTTGATATATTTGTAGGTGGGGATCTCTCTGACAGCCGTGATGCTCCCTGGTCTAATGGTTATGAAGTAAATAACCCCAGTTGTTTGAATAATAGTTGCCTTTATTTGATTGGTACTGGTTAATTGGTGATCAGTAACATTGCCAGAAAAAAATGACAGCTTTCATTGCAAACTGTCTCTTTTATAAGTCAATCTTTTAATAAAAAGAAGAAAAAAAATTTGCAAACCTTACATCTTCATGCAGGGTAGTAACAGCAACACACCTCAAATGCAGGAGACAACATCTCAAGAAGAAACCACTGTAGAATGTCCTCTTGATAGAGAAGAACTTGGTCGATCAACATGGAACTTTCTTCATACAATGGCTGCTTATTATCCAGACAGTCCCACACAAGAACAGCAATGTGACATGTCTAGTTTTGTAAAACTGTTTTCCAAATTCTTTCCTTGTGAAGATTGTGCATCACATCTTAGGGAAAGGTAAATTGAATTTTTTGCTATCCCTCTTGGTGTTTATTTCCTATATATTTTAAAATTTTAATCACAATGCAGACAAAAAAATGTGTTTGAAAGCCAAAATTTAGTGCTCTGACTAGAAGTAGATTTTGAAAACTAAAGGCAGACTGTCTTAGTGAAGACAAAACAGTTTTTTGAGAGAGTCCAGGGTTGTCATTAAGGGCTGTAACCTGTAACACCTGTTGCGGCTGAGTATGCTTGAGAACAAGGCTATGGGTACTCAAAACTTCATCACAGCCCTGCAGTCTGCTTATGTTGTTCTAGTTGTAAGTTGTTTTGTACCAGCTGACTAATGTGTTCAAGAATTTTGTGAAGTTTGCTGTATATAATGGATTGGTGTGACTCTGCTGAATTTAAATAACTCTTATAAGTCTAACCTGAAATATCTCTGTACACCTCTCCCTCAGCCCAGGGTACTTAATTAGGGCAGGGAGACATCTAACCAGTGTTTCTGCCAGAGCGTGCCATTGCGAGAATCCCACGTTACAATCAGAGATGGCCCCCAGAAAAACGAAGAAAGGGCCAATTTGGCCCTTTCCTTTTACAAGACTGCAGGCTTAACACAGGCATAATATTTTAAAAGCCATCCCAGGGCTGGAAATTGTGATTGATACTGAAATCAATAATGAAAGACCTTTGCTTCTAACAAATTCAACATAAGAAAAGAAGTCAATCCGTCCTTTTGCTTTGCTGTATTGATTCTCTCACATTGGAAATGTTTATTTCAAAAACTGCTTCAAACGTGGGGGGAGTGAGGTGATGGGTGGGGGGAAGGATTGTTTTTCCTCGACAAGCCTGCCACAAAATATTTACAAGCATATTTCTTGTCTTGATTGCTAAAGTGACACATTTTTCCTGAAACTCAGATTGATTTTTTAAAATTTAATTAAGGTTACAAACAAACCCTCCAGACACGAGCAACAGATACAACTTTTGTCAATGGATGTGCCATATGCACAATGAAGTTAATAGAAGGATAGGAAAAAAGGAGTTTGATTGCTCAAAAGTCGACGAACGCTGGCTTGATGGATGGAAAGATGGATCATGTGATTAACAAGGGAATCAAAGTAAGTGCAGTTATTCTCATTACAAGTACTGTATAACAATCAGTTTAAGGAGAATTTACATTTTAAGCCTGTCACTGAAACAGTTTCATAGTGACATCCAGTGTCTGGTCCATGACTTTTTTTCTAAGCAAATGAATTTTTCTTTAACTAAAGATTTCTGGATTCTAGGTTGAGTGGTCCAGGTTTGAGCCCTGGCCCTGGCCAGGGTCTTTAAGTTTTTGTGGGCAATACACTTTACTCTCACAGCGCCTCTCTCCGCCCAGGTATATAAATGGGTACTGGCGAACTTAATGCTGGGAGTAACCCTGCAATTGACTAGTATTTCATCCAGGGGGGTATAGATATGCTCCTATTCACTTCATNTAACAATCAGTTTAAGGAGAATTTACATTTTAAGCCTGTAACTGAAACAGTTTCATAGTGACATCCAGTGTCCGGTCCATGACTTTTTTCCCAAGCAAGAGAATTTTTCTTTAACTAGAGGTTTCTGGATTCTAGGTTGAGTTGTCCAGGTTTGAGCCCTGGCTCTGGCCCTGGCCAGGGTCTTTAAGTTTTCGTAGGCAAGACACTTTACTCTCACAGTGCCTCTCTCCACCCAGGTGTATAAATGGGTACCAGTGAACTTAATGCTGGGGGTAACCCTGCAATGGACTAGTATTCAATCCTAGTGGTATAGATATACTCCTATTCACTTCACGCTGCCGAAACCAGGATAAGCTCTGGCTGTGTGGATCACAGGCCTAATGCAGACTTTTTTTTCTTTCAAACCCAACTAAGTGGATGTCACATTGACTTATTTTATAAAAACTTTAGAGCATTTGAAGGCTTGGTTTCTGCTAGGAGCCATTTTTGCATAAGAATGCAGGGCTGACCCTCAGAAACCGAAGAATCCACTCTGGGCAAGGATTCTTTGATCCCTTTGATGCACCATGATTCAAGTGATTATGGATTAATCTGCTTGGTAAAGAAATACAAAATACATTATTGGATTTAAGATTCCAATCTTAGATTTTCCCCAAAAAAACACACCTTTAGTTGAGTCGAGTTAAGTGATTCCACCACAATCGATTAACATAATAATTACAATTCAACAACTCATGTTCATACAACTAAAACATGTGCACTACAATCAAACAAATTTAGGAGTCTGAGAACTTTTGTTCTACTTGACACTTAGTAGCTTACTCCCAAGAGGTTACCCCTAAATAAATACACATTACACATTTGACAATGGAGACAAGATATTTTTTACTCGTTGTCTTTTTATTTGAAGATGACCAATGATGCTGACGATAAACAACAACAGAGGACGACTGCATGCACCTCCTTATTGCCAGCTTTCCTAACACCTCTGGCGTACCTCACATGTGTGGACNACATGAATGCAGGGCTGACCCTCAGAAACTGAAGAATCCACTCTGGGCAAAGATTCTTTGGTCCCTTTGATGCACCATGATTCAAGTGATCATGGATTAATCTGCTTGGTAAAGAAATGCAAGATACATTAGTGGATTTAAGTTTCCAATCATAGAATTTTCCCCCCAAAAAACACACCTTTAGTTGAGTTAAGTGATTCCACCACAAACGACTAACGTAATAATTACAATTCAACAACCCATGTTCATACAGCTAAAAAATGTGTGCTACAATCAAATAAATGTAGGAGTCTGAGAACTTTAGTTCTACTTAACACCTAGTAGCTTACTCCCAAGAGGTTACCCCTAAATAAATACACATTATACATTTGACAATGGAGACAAGATATTTTTTACTCCTTGTCTTTTTATTTGAAGATGACCAATGATGCAGACGATAAACAACAACAGAGGACGACTGCATGCACCTCCTTATTGCCAGCTTTCCTAACACCTCTGGCGTACCTCACATGTGTGGACGAAACAGTAGAATACTCTTCCCTTCCCACAGAGAAATTGCGGGAAGAAAGAAGCTACAAATTATTGTAAATATTGGACTCTA